ACTAATTTCAAACTAGATGATCATCTTTTTGACTCCAAGTTATACTCTTTTTTCAGCTTCCGTCAATCAGGTGGGATCGTCCAGTATCGGTCATGAAGAGCCAATTCTATCAAAGGATGACAAGCAAACAATTGTGATGTTCTGTCGATCTGCACTTTCAAATCCCGTCAATGTAATTTTTTCTTTATCAGTGCAATGTCTTATCTGTCGTTCTAAAGCTTAAGCGACTATTTCGAATCTATGAAAAACACCATTTGCCCTTTTCCAATCTTCGAAATTAAAAAATCTCGCTGGTAGATTCGTTCACAGGCGAAAAATTGCACGTGATTTTGGCCTATTTCCAGTACTCATCACCAGCAAAACCAACTCATAGCTAGAATTCGTTTAAAATCTGGATTCTTCATTGAAGTACGCGCACACCTCCGTCACATCGTCATGTGACAAAAGAATTCATTCAAATTTTATTCTCGATTAAACTTATACGAACTGTTAAAATTCCGGGATCGAAGACGACTCGAAGCTGATTGACGCGATAAGGTGTGTGGGCGCCGTCCGTGTTCTGCACTGCTGAGACTGGTGATGTGTGACGAACCTACAACGACGATGCTACGTGCGAAAATTTTCATTCCACTCATGAATTTCTCACCCAAATCTCAAATTATAATCGATCAGAATTCATTTTATTTCACCGCATTTGCGGTGGTATAATGTAACAATGAACCCAATAATATAGAGTGGTGTGCAAAAGCATTTGCGTCAACCAGGATCCCATTTAGTATTTTGTTCTTTATTTTTCCTCATGTTTTGCAAAAGATGGAAAATTCGATAAAAGAAAAGCAACTCTATTAACAAACCAGGCCACTAAATAAAATCATAATATTCAGTGCAAAAGCATCGTCATCGATATGGACTACAGCAAACACTGCTTTGATTACTGACTAGATCTAACTAGATAGAGATTTCCCTTGCGTCATTATTATCTATAAGTTTATACATTGATCCGTGTGCTTCATATCGACGAAGTTTTTTAAGCTATCTCAAACAAATAATTTTTCACTAAACTTTTTTTCCCGTCTTCACACTGCTTTGTATCGTTTTTTACTGTGCGTATTCCAGTACTTTTAGCATTCAATTAGTTTTCTTCTTCTTCTTCTTGAACGATGCAAAATAGCGGTAGAGCGCATCTCCTTGCAATTTCAAGATGACCTGGCTGTGGCGTTCCGAGGGGGCTCGTTGTTGACTGCCGGAGAGTGTTGGGAGGATATGGGATTCATTCCGCGTCGAGCCTCGCGCAACTCAGCCACGCGGATACGGCGCCGCCGTCCTCCCCTCAAAATATAGTGTCTCCAGTAATTCGCTGTTAGTAATCTGATCTTTATTCTATGTAGATGAAGGATAGATGTAACGCATCTGGTGCAGTAGTTAGGTACCCTGAACGCAAACATCGTCTATGGTTCGTTTCCGTGTAACCGAGGAAGCTACGTCCTTCAGTCTTTCGGGTACGGCATCCTGCTATCTGTTCATTTTGTGAGCTTCGGAAACATTGATTTATTACATCGACAGGCTCATGAAAGTTGTTGTATATTAGCCGGATATGCAGTCGACAACCTCTACATTACACGAATGGAGTCAAATACATGGCCCACTCATGAGAGATCGATGCCTAACATTTTATCATTCATAAATTTTTGTAGAAAGATCTACAAGGAAATTATTAGTTCTTTGGGTTACAGTCTGACGATTGAACGAACTACACTCTCAATGCAGTTGATCTCAAAGCCTCGTTGATGTCATCGCTAATGGAAAAGCCTGAATATTTGATAAAGTTGTACGATTTCAGCGCGAGAAGATCAAGGATCCGTTGGAATTGCAGCGAATTTGTGGCACTTTGATTCGAGAATTCAAACGGCAACGAGACACTGAGATGGGAAAACGAACGTTGTTTTGAAGTATGTACTTTAGTGTAGTTTTGATGCACTCGGAATATATTTTGTGACATTTATACGGTATAAAACTCATATCTGTTCTTATATTTTAAGTCCTATAAATTAGCTTCGTAGGTTGTATTTGAATACTGAATTTTTTTCAACAGGAATAATGTGCCTTAGTGTATATGATATTTGTCGGTCATTTTTAATGATCACCTCTTCATCTTCTCATTTACTTTTTCGCCATGGCGCGACATCACATGCGTCACCATCGCACCGTGCGGATTCCAGCAGGTCTAGCGGTCGACTCGCTTTCTCGTATCACCGTCTACGAAGATCCTCGTAATTTACCCGCGTGTGGGTTTAACTACTACTCAAGGATCTCGCCATCTTCGCCACAAATGCCGCTGAATCAATAGTTTGTGGAATAATGAGATAGCCATGTTAGCGCGTTCAAACGTAGATTGGAGGTTGGATTATCCATGGCAAGTCTAGAACGTATTATAACACCTCGGGGATGGGAAGCTTAGTGGACTTAGAGCGGAGTCAAACCGAGGGTCGGGTCCGTCGTGCCATACGTGTGTTGGATGTAGTCACTACCACCACGATACCCGTGCCCTATGATACGCAGTGTGACCTATGAGAAAGGACAAATCTGTGGATGAAGAAAAAAAACTTATAGCCGAACAAATCGTCAAATTCTATCATTTGCATAATTATCCTCAGTGTTATGTGGATTATCCAACAAATGAAGTCGTTAACAATGACTCAAATAATCGTCGATTTAAGTCCCTAAAATTCTCAAACAGCCTGTTTTCATGAAGAAAGACAAGAATTTCCACAAACTGGCGTGATTATCTTCGGAGTTACTGCTCGGTCGGCTAAGAAACGTAGCGTCTTCCACCCAAGAATTGTTTTTAAATGGCGTTACGGCTCCAACCCGTCCCAAGTGGCGCTTAGGTTTCCTCTCAACTGCACTTCCAGTTTCTGACGAACGGCCGACAAAATCAAAACACCGAATCTCATCGGTCTCATCATTCATAGGTACTCAGCAATTAATCCAAGCGGTATCCCTCATTGTTGCGATAAATTCCATCGGCCGTAGTTACGTAATGTCCTATGTCCTCTCTTATATTTTCTAACAAACTTTGTGACAAAATTCAGGTATCAGAAACAGTTTGCGCCAGACCAGGCATCATTTTTCGCGTTCACAGTAGTCGCAGTGCTCTCCAGTCTCCAAGGCATTGGTCTCTAGAGCATCTCAATCCTCTGTTCTTGATTGGTTTCGCTTTGACTTCAAGTGATTATTGAGATAGAAAATCGCTGAGATGACCATCATACGGTTGAATTTCTTTAGGACCACAGGGAAGAAAAATTTACTAGATTATTACTTGTACTATTGAGACCAACTATTTTTTATTTCCCGTTGAGTACGTTCTGTATTTTGCTTTACTCTTCAAAATAACATATCGTAGACTGTGGCTTACTACACGACATTTTGCTTGATCTCTCTACAGTCTATTACGTCTTCTCATGAGTTTTGGCATTAGATCAATAAATACGAATTTTTAAATATACATGGATTACTGGCAGTCATTTAATAGCCCGCATCTCGATAATTTTGATGCTAAGACTGATTTCGGAACGGTCCATATAGAGTGCTATTAAAGGAAAAAAAAATCGTGATTCGCACTCTGAGTAGTTAGCTCGCTTCTTGAATTTTGTAAACGGGTTTATTACGCAATGAAAAACAAAAAAGTTTTCGTACCAACAGAGCAATAGAAACAAGGCTCTTTTGCAGTTCCTATACAAAAAACCTAGAAATTTTCTCGGAAAGTGTCAAAAAATTACAAATAAGCGACGCAGTGCGCAACGATTTTAACTATCGCCTCGAAAAAGCACGTCATTCGGCAGCCGCACGACTTTCTTACTCAATTGGAAATTTTTTCCCCCTACAGGGAAAATTTCTAGGATTTTCGTATGAGAGCTGCAGAGGCCACTTTGTTGCATCGTTCTATAGGTGCACATTTTTTTTGTTCCACATTGCCAAATAAACACGTTATGAAGTTTGAGAGACGAACTAACCTACTTCGAGTGCAAAATATGATTACCTTTTTGTTCTATTGGCGCTCTATACGGACCGCTTGAAGTGCTAAGGAGCCTCATTCGCGCTCCAGAACTCATCAATCATAGTCACTCGGTTCAGCCGATCCCTTGACTACACTCCTCTATGAAGGAATCAAAGCCGAACGATAAGTCACCGCAAGTCAGGTGACAGAATCCTTTGACATTGCAGTGACCAGGAATCAAGCTTGTTGGCTGGTAAAATGAATCATATCTCTTCATTCGAGCGATTTATTACAGACCTCGCTCAAAAAACAATAATAGGCTGATTATGATTTAATATGTTCTAAGCCGTTTTTGAGGTCTGATAATTGCTAAACAGGCGCCTGTTTTGTCCTTATCTCACAAAGGGCTCAGAACATGTTATACAATATCAGGCTATAATTGTTTTTGGGCGAGGTCTATAAAAAGCGGTTGAAAGAAGAGGTACAACTCATTTCACCAGCTCCAAGCTCGATCGCTGGTCACTACAATGTCAGGATATTCTATCACCTGACTTGCGGCAATTTAATATTCGGCGTCGATTAGAGGGCTATAACTTAAAGGGTGAACCGAAGGAGACGACATAGGTTGCCGGATGACTACCACTAATCGATGTTTTATATATTATAAATTTGCTGTATCTTTCACTGATGCCAAAATTTATGAGACTTAATATCAACAACTTTTATTACAATTACAGGCAGTCCTTTAATCAAATACAGTTCCAGTACTTTCTGTTGCTGATCAAGCGATCGATCTGCTTCAAACTGTTACCATATTCAAATAACATGATGCGCTAATGGATAGCCGTGTGACATTCGATTCAGTGAATAAATATTATTTGCGTTTTTTCGGTTGATAATAGGAAGCCATTGTAGACGATGAATAAAATGTTTGTGGAAATCAGTACCGACCTGCTACAAACAGAGAAATATCGAATTTTATACCCACTGATGTTGAGTGAGGTGCATAGGTTGATGTCGGGCGGGACTCGAAACCCGCATTTAACCCTTTCCGGGCGCGTGTGCTGAACCAGTTGCACTACCGATGCTGTCTTGCCAGCCCTCCGTCTACGCTACAACGCATCAACCTTTCAGCAACCAATGGGCAACGGTTTGACTTGGAACGCCATATCAGAACAAAAAGCTGTCAAAGTTTTACACATCATTCAACATCATTTATTATATCTGTAACATTATATCACCACCGAAAAGCCGTTATATCAAGAAAATTCTATCGCATTTATGTTAGCTATCTCATACAGGCTCATAAGGACTACTGCAACCCAGAAAACGGAGATTTTCTTCGAATTGATAACACATAACGTACCGTCCAATCACAATGTCGCAATTTGATCAGTATCTCTTTAGTGCACAGTGTTGATTAGAGGATTGGAAAGCTAGTTTTTCCAAAATCGTCTTCTAATTTTTTGCTGGCGTGATAGAGTAATTATTTTGAATGGTTTCTAAGGAACTTCAAAAAATGGTCTCGAACAACTATGATTACCGCAGCCTGCGGACGCTATGATGTTCGTACGGTACTCAGGGAGCAAAACGACATCAAGGAATCTTTGACAACCCGATATTTCCCATAAGCCACCGTATTTCTGACGGATGTTGTATTATTATCGAGAAAGCCATAAAGGAACAGATTAACATTTTCTAGCCAAGAAGATAGACTTATTAATTGGCATAATATCGTTTGCTTCTCAAAGATGTGTTTCATTACAAGCCAGTAGTATCGACGAGAAGAAGAAGAATGACCGAGAACAAGGACTCACAATCCTATTACTACTCTTTCATTTCGTTGTTTACCAGTCAGATGACGATATTGTTTGCTTTCATATTATCGTCATTTCAATGCCTCGCATCTGCCCTCAATTGCCCAATAAATGGCAGTTACGATGCATCAAACGTATTGTTTTCCATTTGGGTGATGTTGCTAAGCCGCGAAAACATTTACACTAGGAGTTACAGCACTATTTTTCTATTGAAATCCTATACTTTTTATGTACAACACGTTCAAAATAAAGGGATCCAGACTTGTCCATCTTTTTGCCACTTTCGACATCTGTACGCCGTATGAACGGTGCACGCCTTCTATAACTGAACTCTGATGCTACCTTGTTTGCCTACCAAAAAAAAAAACACGCAAAAAAGACAGAGTTTATCCAGTTATTAACAGCTATCTAAATACTGCTGACTGGCAATGTTGAGCTTTAAAGAAGTTGGCTACCGAATTCGATTGATTTTACTTACTGACACGACTCGCCATCACATTTTATTGTGCGGATCCCACTACTTCTAACATACGATTCGTTTCTCGTTCTCTTCTCGATAAAATACTGGTCGAGCGTCTCTCCTTACAATCTCGAAGAGAGCTTGGCTGTGGCTGTGACGCTCCATAGGGCGTTCTTGTTAACTGTCCTAGAATGTTATAGGGTGTGAAGCTCGGCTCCACGCGTGCCTTAACGAGCATCATAACCACTCCGTCACGGCTCGTCCCGGTTCACTAATAATAACTCATTTATTCATATGACAGCTTACAAGTAAATATGATCGTATAAGTATGCTGATGGAAGTTATCGATGTTCCAGCCAATACCGAATCTAGAAATCGTAGTTGTTTTTTCTGACAGAAATGCTGAAATAAGAATTGATCTGAAAGCCGGCTTGTTTTTGTACGCTAATCCTTCTCGAAAGTAAGAGATTTTCTTGTCAATTTCAGTTTACTCTTTCACTACGAATGCTTTTAGATGTTAACTCTTTGAGAACTTCATAGTAGTGACCGTTTAGTAGTGCAAGGAAGTTTCTTCAATGAGGAAGGAGCTTGAGGTAACGTAGATCTTTTCGCCTTTGTACAGCCTAAATTACATGGAATAGTGATCAGGAAAGAATAATTAATAGTGGAACGATGTACAAATGGGAGTTTTGCTGTAGTCAACGATCCGGCGTTTGGCTGAAGTGTAGAGATGCCATAATGTCATAAAATAGAAAAGTTGCTGGCGAAGAATTTAATACATGTCTATAAACAAGCACAGAAGAATCGATAGCCGTCATAGTTTATAGAAGCTTACAGGGCTACTCTTGTTGTGGTACTTTAGATAAGTTCAATATTACTACTCGAATAAACAAATAGATAAAATCACATCTGCTACCCCTAAATTGTTTGTGCTAGACTACATCTTTCTAATGCTTGATTTCTCCCATGCGACTAACATTCAGTACAGAAATCCTCTTGATGTACAAGTACGACTCCTCTAAACAATTTATGTTGTTCTCTTTAGCTTCCATCGAAATGTTGGATGTTCGTCTTCGTTCTGCCTCTGGACACCGAGATAAATCCCTAAACCTTCTTAGATCTTTAGCATTAAGGGCCCTTTACCTATGAAACAATGAGAGATTTTCTGGCTCCTGACTGTAATTTTTAAGTGTAATAGTAATTCATGTTTGGGTTGCTATTCCATTGATGGCAACGTTCGTGGGTTCATTTGAGTAACGGATTGGTTGAATTAAAATTAGAAGGCCAAATCGGCACTCAAAGTTTGTCCTATAGAACAATCTTGGAAAACTAGTAAGTCAAAAGCTTGAGTAAACGCTAAATTGAGGCTTCTTCCAAACCAAACTTCATATGCCACGATTTTGAGCGCCTGTCAAATAGTGCTGAGAATTTCGTGACAGTTGCTGAACTCCCACACAACTCTACGTTGTCAGTTAGTCTGCAACTGCTTCTTTGATTATTTACATTGACTGAGGATGATGCTCTTGTAGTTGATAAATCCTCGAGTAATGCGCCACACATTCGTCTCATTGAGCATCTTTAGAGATAATCAAGTGCGTATCTGGTCATCACCATGACTTTAATTGTCTTACCAATAATCAAGTCAGTGCAGGTATCCTACCACAATTATATTCGGTTGCAAAGAACATTTTGAGGCACTTCTAAAAAATTGAAAATTCATGCATGAATCCCAAATAAAAACAATAGTAATTATTCTTTGAATAAAGACTATAGTTTTTCTACAACTTTCTGCCGTCGGTTCGCCAAATTTTGAAAATTTGCTTGCTGTGCCTTCCCCCTCAACTTCGTTGATTTCATCGAATGCAGCTCTCTGTAAAAGACCCTTTCTACAATAATGACTCCATAAAACACGAACTATCGTTGACAATGGAGGAGGCTTGTACCATAGCGAGAACAAAGACGATTAACATCTAATCATTCAATGGGAAAAATCTCACATAAGAAATTATTATGTTTATGATATGCTCAGGAGTTTACTTATGCTTGCTAAAGTGCTCCAAAACTTCCTTTTTGAATTCTTTCTATCTGACTGCCTCTAGCAGTGGCATAATGTTATAATAAGCCGAGTGGTGAAAAGTGTTGTGCAAAAGCTTTCGCGTCATCTGAAATCTGAACCCGCATTTCCCCCTATCCGGGGTCGCGAGTTTAACCGTTGCCACAGTCGATATCCTTTTTTGACACCACTCTTTCTACGCTACAACGCGCTTATGTGTCAGCAGCCAATCTTCTTTTCAACCGTGGTAGTATTGATTGGCTGATCGCGGAGAAATGAAAGCTTTGGTAAGCCTGGGATGAGAGGTTGCACCTAATTATCGTTGGCAACAAAGCAGACTGTAAAAGTAGGGTTATAAAAAATGCATTCATTATCTGCAAAAGGTGAAGTCGCCGGAAGCGTTAGTCATTACATTTCATGAATACTTGTTAACGACCTCGCGTTAGACCAAAAAAAAAAATGGAGAGCTCGTTAGGTAATATGAACTGATTATAAAGGATGAGACAAGGGTTCATTCATCGCTCGAGGTACACAGATTCGCATATCGCTCAAGATTACTGGAAATATATCTATAACATCACAACATTGTTATAGAAGAGGTAAAATGGAAAGGGATCTTGCAGATAACATAAATTAATTAATGCCCGAATCAATCAAAAACAATTCAGAGGACTGACAATGCTTATAAGCCTTATCAAGCTAAGACAATCTTCTGCCTTAAAGATACTGCTTATTTTGATTGTCGCAAAATCTTACTAATACTTCTTGTTAAATTCAAAACAGAAGAAGCAATTTCTTTAAGGTGGAAGATTGTTTCAGCTCAAAAAGGCTTGCATGCATATAAAATTAGCAACAATATATTCTAGATATCTGATATTATGTGTTGAACCTTTATGAGGTGCGGTATGACACTTATACAGTACTAAACAGCTGTTTCGCCTTTCTAGGCTCGCCAGTAGCACGGTGCCTCTCGGTTCAGCCGATTCTTTACAGGGACACACTCTTACTTGTAGAGAAATTGGTGAATATTTTAATCACTACATGCCAGGAGATAAAATCCACCGACATTGCAGTGATCACAGCCTAGCAATTATGGCTGGTAGAATGAATCGTAACTTTTCTTTCGACTGTTTGTATAGACCTCGTTTTCAATACAATTGTAATCTGATGTTTCGAGTCTTCTATGAGGTCTGGTGAAGCACTTATGCAGTATCGACAACTGTATCGCCTTTTCCACACTCGTCAGCAGCACGGTGCCTTTCGGTTCAGCAGATCATTTGCAGAGGACATACACCCGTAGTTTACCCGTGCATTTGCAGGTCGTAAGCCACCATGACACTGATGAGCTTGGAAAGGCGATACAGCTCTCTGGTATTGTATAAGTGGCATAGCAGACTGCACAAAAGCTTCAAAGCAAGTCATCAGATTATCAGATTATCATTGTTTTCGAGCGATATCTACACGAACAGTCGAAAGTTAAAGTACGATATACTTCAAAGAGTGTAAGCTACTAGACTACCGATAGTGGTTGCTGAATAGCGAACATTGTCGAATTTCTGCTGAAAGACAAAGAAGTGTTCATGTCGATATCTAAACAAACACAAATATGTCAATTCGTCCTATCAGTAATACAAAATATTGAATAGTTCACCTTTAAAATGTAGTAATGGTCTCTTTGATTCATCAAAACCTTTAATATGGAATATTCAGAGTTCTGCGTAATCGGACAATCTGCCAATATGATGATATCAACAATAA